CTCTAGCACATCCAGCCCAGACCTGGTACTCACACTCAGGAGAGGTCCACACCTGTTGCTTTGCTTGGTCTCAATGCCTTTCCACTATGTTTCCTACGTGCCCAAGTCAAATGTTATATGGTCCTGATTTTTAGTCCCTTAATGTGGTCTGAATGTTTGTGTCTCCTCAAAATTCAAGTGTTGAAATTCTAACCCCCAAGGTGATGGTATTAGGAGGTGGGGACTTTGGGAGGTGATAAGGTCATGAGGGTGGATCCTCATGAATGGGATTAGTGACCTTTTAAAAAGACTCCAGAGAGCTCCCTTGTCCCTTCCACTATGTGAGGACATGGCAAGAAGGTGCTATCTATGAATGAGGAAGCAGGTCCTCACCAGATACCAAATCTGCCACACCTTGATATTGGACTTCCAGCCTATAAGAACTGTGAGCAATAAAGCAGAAAAAAAATTCTGTTGTTCATAAGCCATCTTGACTATGGTATTTTGTTACAGCAGCCTGAGCTGGCTAAGACAGACAAACAATTGTGCTGAGAAAGAAACTCTTATCCACTGCAAATCAATGGATTCATTTAACAGTTCTTTAGAATTAAACTTTTTTTTAAAACTTACTTCTGGATGTTTCAGGGCCTTCAACATGCCCATGTGTATTTGGAGTCTCCAGGAGAACTTTATTCCAAGTCCATTGGAGTCTTTGCTCTTAAAGCATCTTCTTGGATTTCCATTGAACATTGTGTGGACAGTGCTGGTCTAAAGCATTTGAAAGCTTCTACAAACCCCTAGGCATCTAGGGGAAAAAGGCCCCAGGTCAGTCCTTCCGAGCATTCCATCTCTGTCCCTGGGGTTGTAATGATATAGGAGGTGCTCAGCTTTCCTAGGATCAGGTTAAAGGACACACCCCTGGCTTACAAGCTATTCCCCAAGGTCCCAAGCCCCTCCTTTGGGCCTTCCCCTAGAGGAAAGTTACTGTTGCTTATTAGACCTCTTTTCAGCACCAACACCAGGAAATTGAGACCTCAGGGGACTGGCTTGTGGAAATCCAGCGTCCGTGCATGCTCAGTAGAGAAGTGTTATTATAGTCTGGTAGCTGAATGACCTTCCAGTAGAGGTGCCAGAGAGCACAGAATATTCTTGAAGATGCCTGGTACATGTGACAGGATCTGGCCAGTGAATGTGCTCCAACTGAGCAGCTGAGCATGTGCAAAACTAATGTTACATAACTGGAAACCACCCCCTTAATTGAATATTCATTATATGGAGTAACTATAAAAGCTGAATCCCAGCAAAAGGTGGGGCAAAATTGCTCACTCTCCTGGAGCCAGCCTGCACTCTGCCTGTGGAGTGTGTATTTATTTCTTTTGGAATCAAACTTACTTTCAGGGAGAAAATGCTCAGTCTCTTGAGCCAGCCTGCACTGTGTACCGAACTTTGAATATGTATTTCTTACTTTTGTATTAAACTTGGTGTGGGCCCTGCTCAGTCTCTGCAGCTAGACTGCACACTCTCTGTGAAATCTGTATCTCTTATTCATTGCATTAAACCTGTTAGCACTTTCTACTATGACTCTGCCCTTGAATTCTTTCCTGTTGCAGAGTCAAGAACTTGGTGAGGATGGGTTGGGTGCAGGCCAACTATTGGCCCCCTGGACCCTACCTCCAACATCAGTAAAAACCCCAGGAAGGCTCATGCAGCCCTGACCAGAAGTTCCCCACTCTCACTAGTCTGGAGGTGAGACAGATAAGCAGGGAACAAGTCATCCCTCATGTTAATAAATGTGCTTATTTTTTGTAGACAGAATAATGGCCCCCAAACATGTCCGTGTCCTAATTCTCTTGTTGTACAACTGGAAAATTGTGATTGGGACTCAGCTCAGTCGGTAGAGCATGAGACTCTTAATCTCAGGGTGGTGGGTTCGAGCCCCACATTGGGCGCCAGAAATGTCCCAACCTGCGGGATATTCAATGAGGACCCTGGAGGGGGGAGTGGGAATTGGATGGGACATGAGACATGAGGAATGGAGACAAGACAGTATTCTGATCAAGTCTCGTTTATTAGCCAGAAGGTCACAGCTTATATAGCCAGCAGGAGGGAATCAGCAGATAAGGAAGTATGCAGATGTTTTCTGGGAAAAAGCACAGGGCAAATGGTTCCGGGAAATGGAACATTTCTCAGCTATCTAAAGCAAAGCAGCGGTGATCTATGCCTAGGGCTGTGCAAGCAGAAAGAAGGAGAAAATGGTGGAAAGGTCACAGCATTTATATCTTTAGTGTGAGAAGGCTATTAGCAGGGCTTCATGACCCTGGGCAGGCTATGACTGGGCTCTTTGGCCCCAGACATATAACAATATCTCCAAAGATGTCTACATCCTAATCCCCATGTGGTAGACAAAATAATGTCCCTAAAGATGCCCATGTCCTAATCCCTGGAACGTGTGAATATGTGACTTTCCATGGCAAATGTGATTAAGTTAAGGATCTTGAAATAGGGTGGTTATTCTGGATTGTCAGAGTGAAACCACGTTCATCAGGAGAGTCCTTGTAAGAGAACAGAACTAGAGTTAGGGTCAGAGAAAAAGCAATATGATGATAGAAATAGAGAGAAGCAAATTCAGAGAAAGACTTCAAGATGCCGTGTTGCTTTGAAGATGGCAGAAGGGGCCACAAGCCGAGGGGTGTGGCAGCCTCTAGGAGCTGCAAAAAGCAATGGAATAGATTGTCTCCTGGAGCTTGCAGAAGCAGCCAGCCCTGCTGACACCTTGAATGTAGCCCAGTAGGACCCATGCTGGACTTCTGACCTCCAGGACTGTAGGATAAGAAATTTGTGCTTTACGTAAGCCACTCCCTTTCTGATTGTCACAACAGCAACAAGAACTATTACAAAAGTGAAACAAAGGGAGGTCATATCCTCTTTTCCCCCTGAAGTTGGCAGCTGCTGTGTCCAGCTCTCCTGGAAGGGAATCTGCTTTTCCTGTAGGTCCTATGACCCCAGGGCCTCTGAGGCTGAGCAGGTACACGACGGGACACTAAGAACATGAAGTTTTCCTGGCCTCTGCATCTACCTAAGTTAGGATACTGTCCCTTTTCTGACCCCAGAAGCACAGCTGCTTTAAACATCTCATTTATTTGGATCAGGCTGTTTTGTCAGTGAGCTGCTGAGACAGCCCGCCCCACCCCTGAGTTCTTGAACCTCAACCAATCCTTCTATCCCTTCCTGGTTGTCAGAGGAGCCCTGGTCTTAGGAGCTCAGAATCTTGGCTTCCCTCCTGCAGACCCAGGAAAGAAGAAACAGACAGAAGCTGACTTTCCATAGTTATTCTTCCACTGTTTTATGCTTTCAATAGCTCACTCTCCTACAGAACAAAATGAGATACAAATAGCACAAAATTTGGGCTGGGTTTTCGTTCCAATATATTCCAATTTGGTTTGGGATATAGATGATGCATAAAAATAGAATGGGTGGAAGTCCATAAGTGTGGGTGCAAATCCATGCTCTATTCTGGTAGCCCACAAAGCAGCAAATTGCTCTGTTAATTGTGCAACAGAATTTAAATCCACCCTCCTCCAGTCCCTCCATGGACAAACAACAGTTTAGTAGAGAAGATATAATTTCCAGTATGTGGAGAATATCACATGCTGTCAGACTGAAGTTGACTAATTTGTCTTTTCTCTATGTCATTGAGGAACGAGACAAATATTGGCTAGAAATCCATGGCTAGAAAATTGGTCCTAGTTGGTCTCTTAGTAAGCTGGGACTGCCATAACAAAGTGTCATAGAATGGGTGACTTAAATACTAGACATTTGTCTTCTCACAGTTCTGGAAGCTGGATGTCAAAGATCAAGTCATGGCAGGGTCAGTATCTGGTGAGGACTCACTTCCTGGCTTGCAAACAGCCACCTTCTCACACATGGCTGAGAAACACAGAGACAGAGAGTGCACAAATGCTCTGGTCTCTTCCTCTTTTTATAAGGATACTAATTCTGTCATGTGAGTCTCACCTTCAAGACCTTATCTAACCCTGATTACCTCACAAAGGTCCCACCTGTGAGTATCATTGCATTGGGAGTTAGGATTTCAGCATAAGGATTTGAGTGGGACACAAACATTCAGTCCCTAATGGTTAACAATGTACATGGTACCACCTGGAGTTGGCCCCCACAATGGTCCTGGGCTCCCCACTTCCTACTTCTCACCTACACCCTATTCTCCATCCTTTCCAGCCTGCTCCCTTCTTCCTACCCATCCTTTAAGATAAGTGTGGGATCAACACCCCCTACAGAAGACTTTTCTGAAACCAAGCTGAGTTTAGAACCTCCCAGGAACCCCAAGAGCTCAGAGTGCATTCCCACATCATGTAATATGACACTACCATGTCTGGTTTCAATGGTTGTGTCTTTTCTTTGTAAGCACCTTTTTATTCTGCATCACTGCACACCTGGCACCTACCCCCTATGTGGCTCAGAAACGGTGTGCATTGAATGTTTGTTGAATGAATGCACAAACTCACCCAATATGGAAAATGCTAGGAAAGCGAAAAACCTGGAATTAACAAATTTGGGGCTTCCAACCACCTCTACTGCGGCTCAGGTGAAAGAAACAGAGAGCCAGGGGTCATCCACTTTTCTTCCACAACTGTCCCTGTCCAGACTGTTTGTTCTGCCACCTACAAAAATGAGTGAGTCTTTAAAGGCACAGAGATTGTTAGCTGCAAAAGCCAAGAATTGAACTTAGGTCTCGGCACTGATCTTTGCATTATTCCTGCACTGGGTCTGACCTTAGTATTGCCGCTGTGAGCACCAGTTGTTGAGAAGGTCCGCAGGCAGGCAGTGCCCTCCCCGGATTCCTCGCTGATGCCTTTGAAATTGCTGCAGCTGCCACACCCACAGTGAGCAGAGTTGCTGAGCCAGTGTGTCGGCTTCCAGAAGCTCAGGATGCTCGTTGGCACTTGGTGACTGCCCCAGTTTCTCCCTCCTCCTCGCCAGAGCAGATTGGCTGTGACAGCTCGGGAAGACTCGCTCCGGGGACGTTCTCGAGCATGCATGCACTTGTCCTGTGGGTTCCTGGCTGTGGAGTTTGGAATCTGAGATCAGGGCTCATTTATTTTTTGGCAAAGGAATTGTAGCTCAACTCATACTTTCCACTTGAAGACATTGTTTCTCTTCCCTCTATGCTGGGAGACCAGAAGTCAACAAGAGAAGGGTGTGGCAGCTGGATCACCCGTTCTGCTTGTCTGAAGTATCTGCTGGGGTTCTGTCGTCCTGCAGAAAACAATGGAGACCCAGTGGGGACTCCCCTGTCTCATGTTCCTGTGTTTTTTGATGCACGTCCGAGGTAAGCATTTTGCTTTGAGGGAGAGCTGGGTGGGCGTGGACTTCTCTTATGTTGCTTTAAAAGACTCCTTCCAGAGGAGTTTCTAGGAAGGAAATGGCTGTCATTTGCCATAAAAGATTAGAAAAGCGACTGGAGTGATGGATGGTTGGAAGGCAAAAAGAAAGGTAAAAATAAAGCTGATTTTGGGTGTGGGAATGAGATTCGGAAAGTCAGGATACTAGCTAATAACTCTTAGGTACTGACTGTGTTTTCTGGTTTGGATGTGTGTGTGTCTCACGCATTTACAACGTGGCCTGCTTTTACTTGATGATTTAAGCACAACTGGGCATGTGGGGAATTCAATGTGGTTTGTTTCTGATTTAAAATATTTGTTCTGACCATGTTCATATGGTAAAAAGACAGTGGAAACACACTTTCAACCTGCGGGATGGTTTATCAAAGATGGAGTTTGCCCAAAGGGCAGCATTGGTTCGGATGATTAAACATTTTCATAAATGCCGTCGTTCTTTTTTGCAAATTAAAGCTATATGAAATGTTAACTCTGAGTACTTCCATATGCGCTTGCAGCCTGTCTCTCTCTGACTCCAGGATTGGGATTTTTAGTTCATTGGGAGGATCTAGTTAAGGAACCCCTAAAGTGTAGGATTTGAACAGTAATTGAATAAGTTCCTTTGGTCATTTCTACATTGCAATTAGAGAGGGTGGAAAAGGAATCTGGGGGAACATTAAGAATGGAAGTGTTGTCTGTTAGGAGTTAAAAGATTTCATTCAGATGTTTGTATGGAGGCTTTTCTTGTTTATCCTGATTGAGGGTGTGGGTGTTCTTAACGTAGGAGTTGGATGGAGCCAGGATCTTCAGCGAGATCTTTCTATTACTCCACGTTGTCTTTAGATCATACCCAAAATGTAGACCACCGTGAAATGCATTCAGTAGCTTCTACTTGTAGGGAGATGTAGGTTCCTAAGTTGATGCGAGCTCTGAAGCAGGATGTGGGAGATTTTCAGCAGCAAGTCCAGCTCTCCGGAAAAACACTTCTGAAACTTGATGCTTCTTGCTAAGTTCATTGCAGTAAGAACCGGAGGTTAATTAGACTCCCTTAGGCAATTCAACCTCTGCAGCTTACAGCATATTCGATCCTTTAGAAATAATTAGATGTCAAATTCATTCAGCTAGGCTGTTCAGTTCATTGTAAACTTACGGGAACCTTAGTTGTTCATTTAACAAACATTCTTTACGAAATAAAAGAAGAAATAAGGAGGTGGCATTAGATGTTTACGATGTGCTAAGTTCCTCTCATGACAGCAATACGTCCTACACACTGAATTAACTAGGTTGGTTCTCACTCGGCCCTGTGCTGGTGGTGCCAGGCTTGATGTCCTTTTACAGATGGGTAAACTGAGGCAGCCATGGGTTCAGTCATTTGCCCAAGGCCACACTGTTGATTGAGTGTGATGAAAATACAGAGGCAGGATTCAGACCTGGGAAGCTGGCTCCAGCATCTGAGCTGTAGTTCACTGTCCAGAATCAAAGGGTAGATGACATGATCCCATTTTGCAGAGGAGGGATTTGCTGTCTGCAGAGTTTATGGCATTGCTGGAGGTCACGTGACTCTGGTGGCTGCCATGCTCCCCTCTTTCATCTCTCTCTGGGAAGACTCCCGTGAGCACCCTGCTTTATACTGAGTCTTGTCTCCCCAAAACCAGAACGGTCCCTTCATCAAACAGCCGGCACCCCCCCCCCCCCCATACTCCCTGGGGGAGGTTTGAGGGGAAACAGGAAAGAAATTTGGATTGGGGTGCTTCTGTGTAAATAAGATGTGCGTGCACGAGCCGAGTATGTCCCAAGTCCTGGGTAATGAGTTAAATGCATAGATAACCCCCTCATATCCCCAAGCACCACCAGCCGGAGATGGAGCAAATTCACAGGATCCCCAAAACATCCTGCGAGGCTGGTGAGATGATTTCTACAAAGCAAAGTGTTGTTATGGTTAACATAATGTATATCATTATTATAAATATTAAAACAGGATTGTAATAATAAGGTTTTATTTGTAATAAATAGGGGCTTATAATTTGGTGGCTCCATATTTCCATGGTATATAATTAGTATTCACTGTCAAATCTGGAGAAGCTAGAGTGAGCATGAGGCAGAAACAGGTCTTCTAAAAGCTGATAAAACCAGAAGTGACGAATCTGAATAGGAAATCCCAGAGGGAGGTGTACAAGGTGTGGTTCATTGAGAAAAAAGAAAATCATAAGAATCCACAATATATACTGGGTCCAACATTCACTTCTGCATCTATTCTTCATGTTTACTTATCAGGCGTGACAAAAAAAATCAAAGTGCTTTTGTATAGAGCTGATTTTCTGCAGACAGATTAACAAACATAATAGAAACAATAGTACAGTGACCCCTCCTTATCTGAGGGGGGTACCTTCCTAGACCCCCCAGTGTACACCTGAAACTGCAGATAGAACAAAACCATATGTACACTGTGTTTTTTCCTGTACCTGCATACCTATGATAAAGCTTAAATGTATAAATCAGTCACGGTAAGAGATTAACAACACTAATTAATAAAAATAGAACACTTATAACAATATACTGTAATGAAAGTCATGTAAATGTGGTCTCTCTCTCTCTCTCTTTCAGTACCTTACTGTACTATATTCACCCTTCTTCCTATGGTGTAGAGAGACAGTGGGATAGTGTGAGATTTCATCGGGATACTCGGAGCAGCACACAACTTAAAATTTATGAATTGTTTATTTCTGGAATTTCCCACTGAATATTTTCATGCCATGTTGGACTGCAGGTAACTGAAATGGCAAAAAGCAAAACCCTGGATAAGCAGGAGCTACCATAAAGTTCCTTATCATTTTGAATGGTAGCACATAATGTTTCTGAGTACTTCCTGCGGAGTAAAGATAAGTCAGGTGCCGCAAATATTATTTTTATGTGAATTGGTGCATTCAGCTGTACAGACTGTTTAGTCAGCTTCTAAGAACTGGGATATGGAGAGGTTGTGATACTTGCCTAAGGCATCATGCCAGACCATGTAGGTCTACAGGACTCTATCCCATACCAGCCTCACCCCACAGGTCTCCGTTGAACTTCTCTTGATTTCACCTCCTTCTTCATGATCCCCCCACCCCAAACGTCCTTTGATGTAACAAATTTGAGGGTGTAGAAATAGAGTTATAAATGGGTCATTTAGCCAGCCCATTGTCACCTTGCCCATCAGAAATAATGCCAGCATGGGCTGGTTGTACCTGCCCAGCAATTTCATGCAGGGATTCTTAATCTTTGATGTGCAGGTGATCATCTTGGAGAAAGCTAGTATTAAAAACACTCCCTCCTCCCCAACCCCCACATACCCCACCCCTTGAGGTCCTCATTCAGTAGGTGTGAGTGGGGCATTCAGGAGCTGAGAGACTGCATTTTAAGAAGCCCATAGGGGATGCCCAAGCTGGTGCCTTTAGCTGTACCTCATACTCTGCCCATTGAGATTTCCATTTCTGGTTCTTCATTGCTGGTTTTATCAGCTTTTAGAAGACCAGTTCAGAGCTCCCTTTGAGACATGATGATTGAACACCCAGCTATCTGGTTTATGCTGGGGCTTAGTCTCACTGATCCTTGCCACAGGGGGGCAGCTACTCTGTGGTCCCCAACTGAGATTGCATCATCCTATTTCTGTGAAGATGTCATTGGTATTTTGCTGGGGATTGCACTGAAACTGTAGACCACTTTGGGTAGTATAGACATTTACACACTGTTAATTCTTCTGATCAAAGAGCATGGAGTGTCTTTCCATCTCTTTATATCCTCTTTAATCTCTTTCAGCAGTGATTTGTAGTTCCTACTGTAGAGATCTTTTATCTCTTCGGTTAAATTGATTCCTAGGTGTTTTTCTTTTTTTTCTTTTTTGGTTACTATTGTAAATGGGTGTGCTTTCTTGATTTCTTTTTCTGCTAGTCTGTTGTTGGAGTACAAAAGTACTACTTATTTTTGCCTGTTGATTTTGTATCCTGCAACTTTACTGAGATTGTTTATCTACTCTAAGAGGTTTTTTTTTTTTTTTTTTTATAGAGTCTTTAGGCTGTTCTATATATAATATCATGTCATTTGCAAACAGGGACAATTTGACTTCATCTTTTCCAATCTGGATGCCCTTTCTTTCTCTTGCCTGATTTCTCTGGCTTGTACCTCTAATACTGTGTTAAATAGGAGTGGTGAGAGTGGGCATCTTTGTGCTGTTCCTGTTCTTAAGGGAAGAGCTTTCAGCTTGTCCCCATTCAGAATAATACTGACAGTGGATTTGTCATATGTAGCTTTTATTGTGTTGAGACACTCTCCTTCTATACCTAATTTGCTGAAAGTCTTTATCATGAAGGGATGTTGAATTTTGACAATGCTTTTCTCTGTATCTGTTGAGATAATCATATAGTTATTTTCCTCAATTTTGTTGACGTGATGTATCACATTTATTGATGTGCATCTGCTGAACAATCCTTGCACCTCTGGGATGAACCCTACTTAATAGTGGTGTGCAAGTTTTTTGATGTGTAGCTGTATTATGATTGCTAATATTTTGTTGAGGATTTTTACATCTACATTCGTCACAGATACTGGCCTGTAGTTTGCTTTTTGTTGTTGTATCTTTGTCTGGTTTTGGTAGCAGGGTGATGCTAGCTTCATTGAATGAGTGTGGGAGAATGGCCTCTGTTTCAGTTTTTTGGAAAAACAAAAGACCCTGAATAGCCAAATCAACCCTGAGCAATAAAATAAAATAAATAAAGCCAGAGGCATAACATTACCTGACTTCAAATTATATTCCAAAGCTACAGTAATCAAAACAGCATGGTACTGGCATAAAAACAGACACTTAGAACAATGGAACAGAATATAGAACCCAGAAATCAACCTACTTATTTACAGCTAACGATCTTCTTCTACAAAGTCACCAAGAACATATACTGGGGAAAAGACTGCCTCTTCA